TTCCCCTCTAACAGATGGACATGAATTTAACCAGACAATAAACCATGTATGTGCCATAAATATGTTTGCTGAGGGCATGATTCCCAGTACAGAACTTTAAGAACAGCTGTCTTATGGGCTACTATTTCTTGGTGAGATGATTTGTTAACCTCATTCTGAAACAGATTACATTTATAAAGTTAATTTTTCAGTGGCTTCCCCACTACTAACAGTCTAATTATTTTGGGGGACAATTTTTGTAAACAAAACTTTTTTTTTTTTTCTGAGACAAGAGTCTCACTCCATCACCCAGGCTGCAGTGCAGTGCTGGGATCTCAGCTGACTGCACCTTCCACCTCCTGGGTTCAAGCAATTCTCATGCCTCAGCCTCCCAAGTAGCTGGAATTACAGACATGTGCCACAATGCCCGGATAATTTTTGTATTTTTAGTAAAGGCAGGGTTTTGCCATGTTGGCCAGGCTCATCTCAAACTCCTGACCTCAAGTGATCTGCCCACCTTGACTTCCCAAAATGATGGGATTGCAGGTGTGAGCCACTGCGCCCGGCCTGTAAACAGAACTTTTTTACATGAGTTGTTTTTGTTTTTTTTTAAAGCAGGGTGAGGAAGACTTTATTCAGGACCATCGTGATAGATGTAGGGACTGCTGCAACAAGGTCTTGCAGTGGTGGAGAGAGATTGTACTCAACTCCTAGTATAGCATGGGTGAGTAGGAATGGGCAGCCAAGGAGTGGGGTGGGGTCAGTGGCTGGGAAATGAGTAAGAGGAACCACTGGGGTGCGGGAGATTCTGGCTCAACCAGGCTTAGAGGATTCTTGCTAAAGGCAGGCCAGGGTGACCAGACATTATGTGGGGGATCTATTTACATGAGATTTTTTAAAAGCTAATTTGATGTTTCCTTTCCACATTGGGTGTCGTTTGTCTCAAAGGACTCTTTAGCCTTTGGGCATTGCCAGCAACTTATCTGAGTGCCTGTGGGGAATGTGATGAGTCATTGTGAGCAGTCATTTTATTTTCTTTTTGTACTTCTGTTAAGTTACTATATACACCATTACTTCAATGGTTTTAAGTACCATTATGGTACTTAAACCATGTGGTTTTTTGTTTGTTTGTTTTGTTTTGTTTTGTTTTTGAGATGGAGTCTCACTCTGTCTCCCAGGCTGGAGTACTGTGGCATAATCTCTGCTCACTGCAACCTCTGCCCTCCGAGTTCAAGTGATTCTCTTGCCTCAGCCTCCCGAGTAGCTGGGATTGCAGGTGCCTGCCACCACGCCCAGCTGATTTTTTGTATTTTTAGTAGAGACGGGGTTTCACCATCTTGGCCAGGCTGGTCTTGATCTCCTGACCTCATGATCCACCTGCCTTGGCCTCCCAAAGTGCTGGGATTACAGGCGTGAGCCACCGTGCCCGGCCAGCTGTACAGTTCTTTATAAATACAAGTCTTTTGTCTTTCTACTTCTTCCTGTCATTATCTTCGAAGATGTTTTCGTTCTGTCAACATTGCATTCCCCGTGGAACCTGTGCAAATTGAAATATGAAGTATTTCGTTTTGCATTCTTTAGAGGGTAACTACTATTGGTGTATATTTTCACGGGTGTGATCTACCAAGCGAAGTATAAATTGCCGTAAAACTGGAAAAGTGTTTGAATGAGTGAAGCAGATGTTCTGTTAGCATGAAGCAGATGTAAAACTTGCAAGTGTCTGTCTAATAAAGTATAGCATTTGGTTCTATACAGCTGGTGCCAGATTACCAATTAATCATGTTTGAATGCATTTTTACTAATTAGGTCCCCCTCTGTTCTTTATGCATTCTGGCTATATTAAAGGGAGGGATGGGACACAAAAGCTTTCTACCTTTAGTACGTTGAGCAACATTTTTTCTTATTCCCTGGTCTTTTATTCTTAGAACCATATAATTCACTCTTTCATTCTTTATTGGCTCTCCAGTTTGATTTGGGATGTAGGTGTGACATGAGGATTTTCCCTCGAGTGCCCTTGAACACTTTAAGGAAGCTAAAGAAAATAATGTAATTAATGTTGTTGTTTTTCTTATTTGCATGGACAAAAGCTAGTATTTGCTCAGTTAACATCAATTCATAGCCTCTGTGGCTATTTGAGTAGGAGTTTGAACATTCTAGAAACGAGTGATGCCAGGTTGGGTTTATGTTCTTAAAAGCAATAGAGCACTTTTTCTCAAAGATAAAAAATGAGTGGGTTAACATAACTACCCAGAAGAATTGCCTTTACTGCTATGAAAGATACAACACAAATCACTCGCAATGAAAGTTAGAAAAGTTGTATCATTATGTATTAGCCTTTTTATAAAGCAAGTGTGTTATTGAAATTAAATTTTAGGCCCAGGCACTGTGGCTCCTGCCTGTAATCCCAGCACTTTGGGAGGCCATGGCAGGAGGATCACTTAACCTCAGGAGTTCAAGACCAGCTTGGGCAACATGGCGAAACTACCTCTACAAAAAATACAAAACTTAGGCAGACATAGTGGCATGTGCCTGTAGTCCCAGCTACTTGGAAGCTAAGGCGAGAGGACCACTTGAGCCTGGCAGGCGAAGGCTACGATGAGCTGTGATTAGGCCACTGTACTCCAGCCTGGGTGACAGAGTGAGACCCTGTCTCCAAAAAATAAATAAATAAATTTCAGAACCTGATGGGCCTTTTTTTAAATGCTTAATTTCCTCAAGCATTTAAAACAAAATTTGTTTTCTGTGAAAGGAAGTTCAATATGTAAGGTTTGCTACCATACCTCTCATTTTTCTAAAAGGAGTTAGCAAACAATGATAAAAAGATTTAGAGAGTAGCAGAAATATATTAAATAAATAATTTCTAAGTCTGAAGATAATAGCATGAATGATTCTTATGTATTTATTTATTTATTTATTTATTGAGGCAGGGTCTTGCTCTATCATCCAGGCTGGAGTGGCTTGATCATGGCTACTGCAGCCTGAGCCTCCCAGTAGGCTGAGTCTCAATCAGTCCTCCTTCCTTAACCTTCCCAGTACCTGGGAATTCAGGTGCATGCCACTATGCCTGGCTAATTTTTTTTTTTTTTTTTTGGTAGAGACAGGGTTTTGCCATGTTGCCCAGCCTGGTCTTGAATTCCTGAGCTCAGGCAATCCACCCACTTTGGCTTCCCAAAGTGCAAGGCTGTAGGCGTGAGCCACTGCACCCAGCCTGAGTAGTTCTTTTAATGAAATGTTTATTACCATATGAAAATTAGTTGGAGTTAGGGGAAAGCAAAATGAGCTAAAAGAAGTTCATCAGCTGGAAAATGAGATGTTCAGTATTTATCACTTTCCCCCACTGGGTTTGTGGAATGTGGATCTGCTATAATATGAAAAAACATGGCTGGGTGCGGTGCCTCACACCTGTAATCCCAGCACTTTGGGAGGCCGAGGCAGACGGATCACCTGAGGTCGGGAATTCAAGACCAGCCTGACCAATATGGAGAAACCCCTGTCTCTACTAAAAATACCAAATTAGCCGGGAGTGGTGGCACATGCCTGTAATCACAGTTACTAGGGAGGCTGAGGCAGGAGAATCACTTGAACCTGGAAGTTGCAGGTTGCAGTGAGCCAAGATCACACCATTGCACTCCAGCCTGGGCAATAAGGGTGAAACTCCATCTCAAAAAAAAAAAGACAGATCGAATTATATTTTAGACAATGTGTTACAGATTCTAGGACATGGTTTGTTTTGTTTCGTTTTTAACACTGGTGTAAAAGAATCTCTAATGACATAGATAATAACTTTTTATTTATTTATGCTTTTACAGGTACAGGTTAAGTATCCCTCATCTGAAATGCTTGGGACCGGAAGTGTCTTGGATTTCAGATTTTGGGTTATTTGCATATACATAATGAGAAATCTTGGGGATAGGATTCAGGTGTAAACATGAAATTCGTTTATGTTTCATGTATACCTTATGCACATAGCCCAAAGGTGATTTTATACAATGTAGTTCATAAGTTTGTGCATGAAACAAAGTTTGTAGATGCTGAACCATCAGAAAACAAAGGTGTCACTATCTCAACCATCCTAGTGGGCAATCTATGATTATTTGGCATCACCATTGTTCCTGACTCTGAATTTACATGCTACCTTTATAAGTAATCATTTTCTTATACTTATTCACACATAAGTACCTAACAATAAAAAATATGACATACCATCAGTACAGTGAAAAAAATAACACTTTCAGGGTAACTGTGGCATCATTTTGGCTCTCAAAAAGTATCCAATTTTAAAGTATTTCATTTGGATTTCAGCTTTTCAGGTTAGGGCTGCTTAACCTATAGAAAAAGTGTAGCATCCAACAGTATTAATTGCATTATTCCAGAAAATCTTCAGTGTCATTATTGTCTATTGCTTCTATGTTTTATAGTAATAATTTAAATTTAATAAAAGTATCTTGTAACTAAATTGGCTAATAGCTATTACTTTAGGTTTTCAGTTCTTCTAGGGTTGAATACTTACCTAAAAGCAGTTTAAATATTTCATATATCCATTTACCTGCATGAACCTCTTCCCACCAGGGTTACACTTGTCAGAGTAAAATTCATGTGTCTGCCTTATTTGACTACGAATGCCTTTTAATCTTAGAATAAAAAGAAAATGATGGATCTTATGTAATACTGGTAGCTTTTAGGTAGGTGTCTAATGCAATTATATTTCTTTTCATGTGGGAGATTTTTTTTTCTGCCATCCCTGTTTTGTGTCTCACTGATATTGCATAGGAATGATGATGTATTCTTTAAAAATTTTTTTAAGATTAAACATTCACTAAAGTAGAGAATAGTGGGACAGACTCCCATGTATCCCTCACTCAACTTTACCAATGATCAGCCTTCCATTTTTGTTTGCCAAAATTTTTTGAGATATATTTTCAGAGATTTTTCTCTTTCAAGTTGCAGTTATATATCCTTTCTACAGGAACAATAAACCAAAACTAGGTCATGTAAACCCATAGGATCTAACTCTGTTTCAGGAAGTGGAGCGAGAAATCTCATTCAGAACAGAGTGTGGCTTGTATTACTCCTACTACAAGCAGATGCTGCAGGCTCCAACCCTCGTGCAAGGTAATTACAACTGATAGTTTCGTTTGGGGTCTTCTGCATTTTTTTCAATATTTTAGTCAGAAGTACTGTGTACTAAAAACTACTTAAATGCTCTCTAGAACATGTGTAGCTTTTCCTTGTTAATGTCTGATCATTCCATGAAAATGTCTTTTTTGCTCGGGAAGAAGTTATGTAATACTTTATATAACCCTCCTCTCTTTGCCTTCCAGTTCTGTTCCATCCCAAAAGTAATACCTTTACAATTTCATGGTTTTGTTGCTGAATTTTCTCATGATCATTTTGGAAGAGGTCTTTGCAGGTGAAAGGAGTATTGTCTGAGAACAGGAGGCATTTTGGTAACACAAATAAAAATTACAGTTGTCTCTCTTGTCCCCAGTACCCCCATTCATTCCTTTATTTCACAGTCGCCATTTTTGTGCATTTTTACTTATCCTGAGTGGGTTAGACCCCACACTCTGCCTTTACTCCATCTAGTGAAAGCCCCAACATGCATCTCTTCTACCTAATATATACTTAACAGGCTTAGCATGAATGCATGTGACAGAAAAACTGCTCTTTTATAGGCTTTATTTGGAGTCGGCTTTGACATTTTTGGTGGCAGTTATTCATAAATTAGTTGCAGTGGTATGATCATAGCTCACTGCAGTCTCAATCTCCCAAGCTCAAGCAGTCCTCCTGCCTCAGCCTCCCAAGTAGCTGGGACTACGGGTGTGCACTACCACATTCGTTTTTTGTTTTGTTTTGTTTCTCTGTGGAGACGAAATCTCACTGTGTTGCCCAGGCTGGTCTCAAACTCCTGAGCTCAAGTGATCCTCCTGCCTCAGCCTCCCAGAGTGCTGGAATTATAGGCATGAACCACTGTACCCAGCCCATAAGTGATGTTTTGTACTTGTAGTTTTATCACCTAGGAGACATGACATTTTGGTTATCTTTGGTTTTGTGCCATAAAAATTAATGAGTTGGTCCCTGTGTTGATAGCCAGATTCATCCATAATAAGGGTAATTACTCACCAGCCCTTCACTGGTTTTAGCAGCCATTGATGATTATCGTCTGTAGTTCTTATTTCAGTAGGGATGCAAATTAGTGACCTTCTAATTCTGTCATTCCTCCTGTATTTATTAGTTGGAACTCTGTTATATAGAGAACCTTCTCATTGTTTGGCTACCTTGCGGTACAGTTTATACAAGAAAGGCAGGCTTAGTATTCATTTTTCCCCCATACAATCAAACCTTGTTATTCACAGATCGCATAGTTGCAAAATCATTTACTTCCTAAAATGTACTTATAACCTAAAATCAGTATTAATAGTGCTTTCACAGTCGTTCATGGACATGTCCAGAGCAACAGAATAGTCTCTGGCATACGTGTTTCCCACAGAGACTGAATGAGGTGACACTCTGCCACCTTGCCTCAGCTTTCACACTGCAGTGTCCTTTTCAGAAAATCTCTTTTATGCCATGGCCTTTGCATTGTTTTGCTCTTTGTTGCAGTTTAAAATGATCCCCCAAGGCCAGGTGCGGTGGCTCACGCCTGTAATCCCAGCACTTTGGGAGGCCGAGGCGGACGGATCACCTGAGGTCGGGAGTTTGAGACCAGCCTGACCAATCTGGAGAAACCCTGTCTCTACTAAAAATACAAAAAAATTAGCCGGGCATAGTGGCGCATGCCTATAATTCCAGCTACTCGGGAGGCTGAGGCAGGAGAATTGCTTAAACCTGGGAGGCAGAGGTTGTGGTGAGCCGAGATCATGCGAGTGCACTCCAGCCTGGGTGACAGAGCGAGACTCCGTATCACAATTTTAAAAATAAAAAAATTAATGAATTAAAACACAACAGACTGGGTGGCTTAAATGGCAGAAATTTTTTTTCTCACAGTTTAGGAGGCTGGAAGTCTGAGGTTAGGGAGCCACATGGTCAGGTTCTAGGGAGGCCTGTCTGCCTGGCTTGCAGACAGCCACCTTCTTGCTCTGTCCTTACATGGCAGAAAGAGAAGAGCGAGTTCTCTGGTGTCACTTTTTTTAAGGCCACTAATCCCATCATGAGGGCCCATAACTCTCCAACCTAAGAGTTGGAGAGTTATCCATCCGTAACATTCCTGTGTTAGACTTCAGGCTTGCCATAATGTAATACCACAGACTCCGTGGCTTAAACAACAGAAATTTTTTCTCCCTTCTGGAGGCTAGAAGTCCAAGATCCTCATGCTGTTAGGATTGGTTTCTATTGAGGCCTCTCTTCCTAGCTTTGTAGATGCCCTTTTCTTGCTGTGTCCTCACATAGCCTTTCCTCTGTGCAAATGTAGAGAGAGCACAAGGGCAAGCTCTTGTCTGTTCCTCTTATAAGAACACCAGTCCTATCAGATTAAGACCCCAACTGTGTGACCTCACTTACCCTTTATTGCCTCCTGTAGGCCCTGTCTCCAAGAACAGTCATATTGGGGGTTAGGGCTTCAGCATACAGATTTGAGGGGGACACATTTCAGTCCACAGCACCTCCTATTGAGGGACATCTGGGTTGTTTTGGATCAATCTTTTGCTGGTACAAATGGTGCTGCATGAGTGACCTTGTGCCGATGTCATTTTGTCTTTTTGCCAGCCTGTGTGTGGGATTGATTCCTAGACACAGGCTTTCTGGGTCAAAGGGTAAATTCCTATGTGATTTTTGCTAGATACTGCAAAATTTCTCTCCATAGAGATGACACCATTTTATATTCCCAACTATAGTATATAGGAGTCTACTTTTTTATAATCTCACAGAGTGTATTGTAAAACTTTTTTTGCCCAGGCAGTAGGTGAGAAATAGCATCCCTCAGGGTAGTTTTAATTTGCAGTCTTTTAATAGGAGCAAGGTTGAGCATCTTCTCCTATGGGGAAGGACTGTGTGCATGTTTTCTTCTGTGAACTGTCAATTCATGCCTTGGATTAATTAGCCTGGTTACAGTGACAGAGGACCTCTATGGCTTGGATCTCTATAACAGCAGGTCGAGTTCTCCTTCTCATGACAATGTCTGCTGTGAGGGAGCTGCAGCTCTACTCTGCCCCGAACATCCGTGCATTCAAGCCCTATTTGGAACATGCCAGTGTCATGGCAGAGGGCAAGAGCAAGAGCTGGTAGAAACATGCCTTGTCTCCTAAAGCCTCTGCTCAGCTGTGACTTACATCCACTCACATGCCGCTGGTTAGAGCACATGGCCAAAGCTGTTCTGGGGAGTGGAGAAGGAAGGCCATGTATACTCTCCCAAAGGAGATACTGCAGGTCGCATGGCAGGAGGGCAGGGTGGAGAAATGTGAAATCCTCTTGCCCGCATTTCTAGAGAAGGACCTTGTGGTGGTGGTGGTGGTGGTGGTATTTGCATTCCGGTTACAAAAGTTTTAATTTGCCTATGTTTGTGTAAATGTTTAAATGATGTCCATCGAATGTGTGGTAAGCTCTTTGAGGGCAGGAGTATGGTTTTTTTGCTTACTATTATATCCCCAATGCCTACCACACTCTCTACAACATACTAAACAATCTGTGGATAGTTTTGAATGAATGAATAATTATGAGTGTAATTATTTTCTTCCTGACTTTTCACATACCAATCTTAGGTTTTCATGGCCTAATATATGATAATAAAACTGAATCTATGAAGACAATTAATCTGCTTCAGCGAATGAATATTTACCAAGAGGTTTTTCTCAGTATTTTATATAGAGTTCTACCCATACAGGTATGTTATGTTTTGTGACATTGAATTGTTAATATCAGATGAAAGTCAAAGCCTGCCATTTTGAGCTGAAAGTTGTCACATCTGTCCTTCTGATCTTCAACTGGTTTAGTAGAAAATCAGCAATACCGTATTTTTTCCATGTATATTGTGAACTTTTTATTTTGTAAGATATTGCTTTTTGTTTACATAAGATAAAAGGTTTTTGTACATAGATGCTTCCTGGCTTAGATATGTATGCAGCCTAGAAGCTAACAAATACTTTCATTTGGAAATGTGTAATCAGTCTTGATGGATCTTTGAGATAAAAAAATTTGTAAAGTCAGCAAATCACAATGACCACTTCTCATGTGAATGAGGTATCCTCGGACTGAGTTAGGTATAAAACTTTCTGGAGTAAAGAGTGAAGCCAGACTTCTCACGGACTTCCTTCCCCTGTCTCTTAGTGGTGGGAAGAAAGGCTGCCCGAATGGGTGAAAGTGTGTAGGCTTGCTGCTTGGAATTAGGGGCAAGCTCCTGCATATTCTGTTCCTACTGTCATGTTTGAAATGGTACTGAGGAGGGTTAGGGCTCACCCGTCAAACTTGTTTTATTGTTCCCTTTTACAGAAATATTTAGAGCCGGTTTATTTTTATATTTACACCTTATTTGGGCTCCAGGCGATCTATGTCACAGCTCTCTATATAACCAGCTGGCTACTCAGTGGTACGTGGCTGTCAGGACTGTTGGCGGCTTTCTGGTATGTCACAAATAGGTGAGTTGGAGTCAGTATGCTTCTTTTCTTTCCAAAATGTAAGTAAAAATGAAGTGACTTCATTTCCAGCTCAGAGAAATTTCTTCTGCCACATTTGATTGGTTGGGAGCATTTTCTCTTTGGTTTTACCTGGTGGTTTACTCAATTTTTCTTGTTTAGTTAGGGAGAAAGTGCTGCTTACGTATAATTCCAGCTGAGGAACAGAGAGCATTGAATTGCAAATCAAGAAAATCATTCATAATAATCCCAAACCTATTATCTGTTTGCTGTGTGATCAAGATTTCTCCAGCCACATATCTCATCTCTTAAAGGGTTTTTTTAAATTGACAAATAGTAATTGTACATATTCATGGGCTACATAGTGATATTTCAATACATATAGAGTGTATAGTGATCAGATCAAGGTAATTAGCATATCAATCATTAAAAAGTTTTTGGGTTCTTTTTGCTCTTTTTTAAAGCCAATGAAGATTTTTAAAAATTTTATTTATTTAGGGGTTGTTTTTGTTTTTTGTAGAGACAGGATCTCCCTGTGTTGCCCAGGCTGGTCTTAAACTCCTGGCTTCAAACAGTCCTCCCACCTTGACCTCCCAAAGTATTGGGATTACAGGCATGAGCCACTGTGCCTTGCCTAAGAAGTTTTAATTGTATCTTCACTGTCAACCTTAATAGGGTTGTGTATGGCTCTCAATTAGTAGAGCTTAAAGATGTACAAATGCAAGGGCATTTTTGCCTTATTTAATATCTACTATTATAAGCAGTAGAGCCTTATGAAATCACATCTTAAAAAAACATATTCAAGATCATTGAATTATTGCCTGACCTACAGTGGCAATACCAGTATTCAAAAGGAGTCTTAAAACTTGAGCATGAGTTCTAATACAGGTTTTATTTTGTAAGTCTAAGCAAATTACTTGTTATTACAATCCTGTTGGGGGTTTACTGTATGCCAAACACTTTACAATATGCATTATATGTCTTCTTCTAAGCACCCTATAGAGTAGATACCATTATTATCCCCATTTTAGAAACGATAAAATCGAGGCTTAAAAGGTTACATTTTGTATATAGATATAGATATCTGTATATCTATATTTCTTTTATATGAGACATATGTATACATTGATACATTGTTTCATTTATATATCTCTTTTATATAGAGATATACATAGATATAGATACCTTGTTTGATATATAGACACACACGTGTATGTATGTGTTATATATGTGTATCATTTATTGAATGCCTAGTATGTGTGGGGATGGTATACAAAGATGAAAAATCTTACCCATACTTGCCCTCTTGGGGTTCACATTCTAGAGAGGCAGGAAGTTTTTTAAAAATACTGTCAATGACATATTTAAGACTCAAGTATAAAAAACACCAAAGAAATACAGAGAGGGAAAATGTTTATTGCCTCTTGACACTAATGAAGTTAGGGAGAAATAAAAGTAAGGGTTTGGCATGATACATTTGTGAGTAGGTCTGACCTGGGTTTGAATCCCAGGTGCTAAGGGCATACCCATGGACAGAGCACTTAAATGTTCTCTATGCCAATTTTATGTTACAGGGATGATGATGATGATGATAAGGACAGTTATTGAGAACCAGTGGCCAGAATCAGATCTTAAGTATACTTGTCCTTAATATGATATATCTTTCACTGAGGAAGTCTTCGAAGAAATTATTGTAAAAGCTATCACTTTGGCCATTTGTGTTTTCTTTTGTGCAGAATAGATACCACAAGAGTTGAGTTTACCATCCCACTGAGGGAGAACTGGGCGCTGCCATTCTTTGCAATTCAGATAGCAGCAATTACATATTTCCTAAGACCAAACTTACAGCCTCTTTCTGAAGTAAGTGTTTATAAAATTTCATATATTTTTAATCCCCCAATTTTATATATGAAGCTTCAAAAAATGTGATGTGCTTAGTATCCCAATGCATGTGAATAGTTCTTATTCCATGACCAATTTTTAAACTTGAGTTAAATTAAGTTTTCTTTTCCTGAGCTTTTTCCTACTTTGCAAAGAAAATGTTTTCATTTTTGATGTTAAAAATGTACTCAACATAATCTACCCTTAAATAGTTGCAGCAAACCCACACACGATTTCTGCAAAACTGTCAGAATTTTTAAGCCCTTGCTCTTGAGATGTGATTTGGTGCATTATCGCCTCCATAATAGTGTGGAATACACACACCGTATGTGAATATTTATATGCAAAGTGTCACTTTATGATAGTTAGAGCTTAAATAACAAATGCAAGGGTTTTCAGAGCAACAGTTTATGGTTTTTCTGTTTGGTTTATAGAGATACTGGCTGCTCTTGAGAAAACTTGTCTGCAAGGTTTTTTATTACTAGAGACATGTAAATTATACAAAGGTTTTCTTTTTACAGAGGCTGACACTTCTTGCCATTTTCATATCAACTTTTCTCTTTAGTCTGACATGGCAATTTAATCAATTTATGATGCTGATGCAAGCATTAGTGCTGTTCACACTGGACTCCCTGGACATGCTGCCAGCAGTGAAGGTGAGCTTTGCTTTCTTTTCTCACTTGAGATTTTCGCCATTTATTGTTTTTATATCATAGAATGAGATGAAAATATGCAAGTACTTATGGGTAAAATTGAAGCTGTTTCTTAGATCTGCTGTACATTTGCTGTGGCCAATTGAAGCTAAGTAATTTATGAAGCCTAGTTTGACCATCTTAACTTTTATTCTGCTTATTTTAAGTTAAAAAATGGAATGGATTTATTTTGGAGTATAAGTGCCTAGGTCAATTGTTATTTATACAGATGACTTAAATTTTAAAATATAAGATAGCTCTTTTAAGATTTCTTACTATGTACTGCCACTTTTAAAAAAGAACTCAATAGGTATATAACAGTTTTTCTGTAGTACTTTATAAAATTTTCATAGTCACATTTAACTAATATGGGATGTGAATCCCTGTTGACTGGCTGAAAGTCACATGTGAAATAAAGAAACCCATCTCTGTCTCCTAGTGTCTGCTGCTGTCATTTAATCACATTTTTTCATGTGCAAAAATATGATTTTATGTATTGTATACAGTTTTAAAATGGCTTATAGTTACTATTCTAAAGTAGTAATAACTTAAATATTTCCCAAGTAGAATAAAATACTTTCTCCAGATCTAAGGCAGCAGTGTAGCCCAAGGATTTGCTCTCATTTATTCCATATCAAAGGAGATGCAGCCAGCTTCCATACGGATTGAGTCTGAATTAAGAAACATGAAAGCCAACCAGCAAATACACATTGCCTGTCTGCTGAGACACTGTAATAGGATGGGCACTACAGGAAATGCTAATATGTGTAATTTATTGTCGTAGCCACAGTTTGCCTTTTAGCTTGGGAAACAAAGGTTACACACATCAAGAACAGGCAGACAAATGATAGCTGCTAATTAGCAATACTGATATATCTAAAAGAAGAAAAGTTATTTTTAGGCAGATAAGTGTTTACAGAAGTGAGAAGCTAGAACTGGACCACCGGATCACAAACGAGAGTAAAATTTGGGTGGGATGTCGGGTGGGGGCAGAATAGGAAGGTAGAATACGGCAAGAGCGAGTAGATAGGACAAAGTTTATATATGTATATAAAATGTTTGGTGTTTCTGCAGGTGTGCCAATGGCCACTCCTACACTGCTGGTAACCTATACACTCCTATAATCCTTCTTTAGTGTAGTTTCACAGCACGTATCAAAAGCCTAAAAATGTATTTGCCTTTTCACCAACATTTCTACCCCTATAAATTTGTCCTAAGTAAATAATCTACCATGTTCATTTTAGCTGTATTGTAATAAGAAAAAGCTGGGCAGAAAAGATAAAAAGAAATAAAAAACTGGAAATGACTTGAGCCAATAGCAGTAAGGTATACTTAATAAATGATGGCATATCTATGCAATCAGGTATTACATAACCATTAGTTTCCCCCCATATTTTTTTGAAAAAGCAAAACAGAGAAAATGAGTAAAGGTTCTGGAAAAACACACAGTAAAAGTATTAACAGTCAGCTACATGATTGATGTTCTGCATATTCTTTTTGTTCTTTAGATCTTTGATTTTTTCTGATAATGAACATGTATCTCTTTTCTTTTTTTCTTTGAGATGTGAGTCTCACTCTGTCTCCCATGCTGGAGTGCAGCGGCGTGATCTTGGCTCACTCCAACCTCCACCTCCCGAGTTTAAGCAGTTCTCCTGCCTCAGCTTCCCAAGTAGCTGGGAATGCAGGTACATGCCACCACACCTGGCTAATATTTGTATTTTTAGTAGAGACAGGATTTTGCCATGTTGCCCAGGCTGGTCTTGAACTCCTGACCTCAAGTGATCCACCTGCCTCAGCCTCTCAAAGTGCTGGGATTACAGACGTGAGCCACTGTGCCCATCTGAATATGTATCTCTCTTAAAATTAGAAAACAAAGGTACTGTTTTGGCTCACACAACATTTTAAAATAATATAGCTAATTTATATTTAGTTCTAAACTTTGTTCAACTTTTGCATTTGAAGCTATGTTGGTATTAGAAGTAGTTGTAAGTATCAGACTTTAAGAAAGAACATTATTACAATGAAAGGATCCTGAGTTATAAAACTAAATTGCTGCTATCAGCTCTGAAAGTAACTGGCTCTTTTAGCTTAGGCAAGTGATTTAACTTAGTTTCTTCATGAATTAGAATCACTTCTCTCTAACCATGTCAAATGGGAAAGAGTTGGAATAATTGGTATAGAAAAAGGTAATAACAAATTCAGAGCTCAAGATGGTGACAAGAAGCAGTACCTTCTTCAGTCCGTTTTGTCGTCTTTTCATGAATGATGAAACTCTTACCAGCAAAAACTCAAGTTTCCAGTCAGAAATGTGAACAGAGTAAAACAGAACAGCGAGCATATTATAAAGTGTATACTTTAGCTTAATTAAAGGCTAAAATATGGAGGTTAATAAAGTTTTCTTAATTTATGTGGAAACAAGACACATTCATGATAAATGCTTAAGAGATCATGTTAAGTACCCTATATGCTTCCAGACAAGAGTGGGTAGAGACATTTCTCCCCGTTCCTCCCCAAAGTACATTTAAAAACCTTAGACACTATATGTATATAACAAACCTAAGAGGAATTTCAGAGGTAGTGAGAAGAAATCAGACTGCCTAAAGACCTTGAGACCAGAGAGAAAATTTGACAGCGAGTTTCTTGGGTTTTCTTTTTGCCCCATATATCCTTGACTGGGTGCTGAAGAAGTCAGAAACCTGGGAATACCAGTGGACTCAAACAAAAAGCCTACTCCCTCTAGCAAAAGGACCAGCAGAGAGGAAGCCTAAGAAGACAGAAAACTTTCAAACATTAACTGCCTTATTCTAGCCAAATGCTACAGAAAAAAACCACAGCCCCACTCCCACCTCCATCAGCAAAGTTCAGTGGGAAGCCTAGACTCCTACCCTTACCCAGCTGTCACTAGGCATGCCTCGCTTCCTGCCAGACCTGTGCCAGAGAAGTCTAGTGGGGAACCAGAACTTTCACCATCTCCCAGAGACATCTGTGAAGGCCGCTTGGGAAACCTGGACTTCAACTCTCACTCAGTGGTAATGAGACATCCTGTCCCCTCTCTGTCAGGGGAGGCCAACAGGGAGGTGGAGACTCTAACCACCACCCAGATGTAATAAGCCTTTCTCTATCTACTGCCCTACCCTATGCTGTCGGTGGACCATGTAAGGAGCAGTGGTGACACACTTCTGTCTCTCCCAGCCAGGATGTGTCAGCAGGGACCTGTAGAGAGCCTGAACTTTCACCTTCACCCAGCAATAAGGAAGCACACCTTCTGCTGACCCCCAGATGTCAATGGAGGGCAAGTGGACACCTTGGACTTCCATTTCCGTCTGGAAGTAACGAGGCAGCACCCTTCTTTCCCCGTTAGTGTAGCGTTGGCATAGTTTGAATGTTTTTGTGGTCCCCCACCAAATTTATATGTTGAAACCCAAACACCCAAGGTGATGGTATTAGGAGGTAGGGCCTTTTAGGAGGTGTTTAGTGCCATTATAAAATAGGCACAAGGGAGCTGTTTCACCATGTGAGGAGGACACAGCAAAAAAGTGCCATGAATGAACCAGGAAACAAGCCCTCACCAGCCAGTGAATCTGCCAGTTCCTTGATCTTGGACTTCCCAGCCTCCGGAACTATGAGAAGTATCTCTTTTGTTGTTTATAAGCTACCTAGATTACAGTATTTTGTTACATAGCAGCCTAAATGGACCAAGACACGTGGTGTCACAGGAGGCCTGCTAACATGGCAGATTTAAATAAGATCCAGGGTCCCATAATGTAATAGGATACAGTTAAAAATCACTTCTTAGGCCAGGCACAGTGGCTTATGCCTATAATCCCAGCACTTTGGGAGGCGAGGCAGGCAGATATTTGAGGTCAGTTTGAGATCAGCCCGGGCAACATGGTGAAACCCTGTCTCTACTAAAAATGCAAAAATTAACTGGCTGTGGTGGCATGTGCCTGGAATGCAGCTATTCAGGAGGCTGAGGCAGGAGAATAGGTTGAGCCCAGGAGGCGGAGGTTGTAGTGAGTTGGGATGGGGCAACTGCATTCCAACCTGGACAACGGAGCAAGACTTTGTCTCAAAAAAAAAAAATCACTTCTTATACTAAGAATTAGGAAAATATCTCTTGAGTGAGAAGAGACAGTCAATAGATGCTAACACTGAGATACACAGAAATTGGATTATCTTACAAGGAATTTAAGGCAGCCATCATAAAAAAAAAGCTTCATTGAGCAGTTACAAACACACTTGAAGCAAATGAAAATACAAGCTCTAAGCAAACAAGGAGAAGACACAAAGAATAAGCAAGTGGAAATTTTAGAACAGAAAAATTCCAATAATCAAAGCTTAAAACTCAGTGAATGGACTCAACAGCAAAATGAAGTGGTCAGAGGAAAGAATCAGTGAACTTGAAGATAGAACAATTTAGAAATTACCTAATCTGAACAAGAAAAAATAGAATGAAACAAAAATGAACAGAGCCTCAAGGACCTGTGAGACTATAATGAAAAGTCTAACATTCAGGTAATCAGAATCCCAGAAGACGACAAGAAAAGAGTGTACTGAAGCTGAAAAAAGTATGCAAATAAATACTTTTGGAAAAAATGTTGAAATTTCCTCAAATTTGGCAAAAGCTACAAACCTTCAGAATCAACAAGCTGAGCTAGTATCAAACAGGAAAAATCCAAATAGAGCCACACTAAGACATTATAATCAGACTTCTGGAGAGTAAACATAAATTTTAAAAAAAGTTTAAAGTAGTCAGAAAAATACTGTACCTATAGGGGAAAACCAATTAGAATGACAGTGAATTCCTCATCAAAAACCATGGAGGGGCTGGGCCCAGTGACTCATGCCTATAATCTCAGCACTTTGGGAGGCTGAGGCGGGTGGATTGCTTGAGCCCAGGAGTTCGAGACCAGCCTGGGCAACATCATGAAACCCCATCTCTATAAATAATAATAATAATAATA